CTGTACCCACGGTTGTTCTTTCCGAGTTACTGAAAGTTGGTGTCTTTGTCCAGCAGTCACTGTGAGAGGCAGGGGACACCTGGACACGTCTCCATTCCATCACAGGGACACATACGAGACAAACAATTATTCAATCTTGCACACCTAGAGTTAATTAAGAGTTACTAATCAGCCTCACATGGAGGTTTTTGTTCTGTGGGAGGAAACCGGAGTACCTGGAGAAAACTCACGGTGAGAACATGCAAACTCCACACAGAAAGGTTGGGAGGAGAACCTGCAACCTTCACACTGTGAGGCGACAGCTCTGGATTTAAATTGTCCTGTGAGGATTTTCTGGTTTGAAGACTTCGTCCTGTGCATCATTCTGGGTTCAAACAGAAAAAAGGATGTTTCCTGTTTCATTACAAATCTAGTGATTAGTTTAATTCCACTTCTTCACAACGTCCTGTGGACACAGTGGAAAAACTACAACTCACAATTAAAGTTTACATGATTGTAAGTTTAGTTTTAATCAATGAAAACCCACTTACTAAGTTTATTCTCCTTCAATGTATTTTTAATACTAACGTTTATTAACAAAGTTGATAAATAAAGTCTAAATCCGAATTGATTAGTGAAGCTGCACATGTTCACAGTCAAGTGTCAGAATCTAAGAGAAACAAAAGACGCAGCTGCAACTCAACAACAAATTAATGTTTTGGTGAGTTCAGGAGAATAAAATCACCATCCGGCACGTGTTAGGATTTATGTATGTTTTAATTTATTTGATTATTGACTGACTCCATGTTGCTGGCAGGTGGGCTAAGACATTAGCTGGTATCTTGGCCTTCCTGCCATGTGCTCCTGCAGCCTTTGGTTCTGCCGGCGCTGCTCAGCCCTCCGGCCAGAAGAAGAAGGCGTGGCGCCGCTGTGATCCAGCCGGGCGATGGGCGGAGGATGACTACACTCAGTGTCCGTACGCCAGCCAACTGACCCGTGTGTTGCACGAGCTCACACAGGTATCGTTTCTAACGGAGACACAGTGACT